TCAGTGAGATCGTATGATACGTGTCTTTCTCTGATTGACTTATTTCGCTCAGCATAATACCCTCCAGTTCCATCCACGTTGTTGCAAATGGCAAGATTTCATTCCTTTTGATGGCTGCATAATATTCCATTATATATATATACCACATCTTCTTTATCCATGCATCTCTCGATGGACATCTTGGTTCTTTCCATAGTTTGGCTATTGTGGACATTGCTGCTATAAATACCGGGGTGCATGTACCCCTTCAGGTCACTACATTTGTATCTTTGGGTTGAAAATAGAGCTGCCCTAGAGATGAAAGTTTGATTAGGGAAAAGTTTTCAATTAGCAATAATTGCACCTCGGATAAACCTCATTGGCTACGATACTGCCACTGCGCAAAGCTAGATGAAAGTTTGATTATCATTTGAAAATCAATCAGTGTAGCTCTCCATATAAACATAATAAAGGAAAAAAACCCCAGAGAATCATTACAACTTAATGAAAGATGTGCAAGGTCAAAATCATTGTTACACTGAAAACTATGAGATATTGCCAGGATAAATGAAAGAAAACCTAAATAAATTTACAGATATACGATGCTCATGGATTGGAAGACTCAGTATTAAGATATCAATTCTCCCTAAGTTGGTATGTAGAATTGATGCAATTCTAACCAATATCTCAGCAGTCTTTTTCATAGAAATTGACAAGTTGATTCTAAAATTTATATGGAAATGCAAAAGACATAGAATAGCCAAAACAATTGTGGAAAAAAAAATGAAGGAATTATTCTTCTTTCTTTCTATTTCTTCTATTTTTCTACAACAATCAAAAAAAGTGATATATTGCTGCAAAGACGGAGATACAGATCAATTGATGAGAATAAATAGTCCAGAAATAGACCTTCACATTTATGGTCAATTGGTTTTCAACAAAAATGTCAAGATAATTCGATGGGGAAAGCTTTTTAAAAAATGGTGTTAAAACAACTGGATATCCATGTGGGGGGAGAAAAATGAACCTTGATCATTACCTTATATACCCAAAAAAGAAATTTGAAATGGATCATAAACCTAAATGTAGAAGTAAATTCATAAAAGATATTTGGAGAAATGAGAGAAAATTTTTGTGAATTTAAGTCAGGCAGAGGTTCATGACATAGGGCACAAATGTCACAAATTATAAAGAAAAAACAGTTAATTTGATTTAAACAAAATTTAAAATGTCTTCTTTTAGAAAGACACAACTAGGAAAATGAAAAAGCAGGTTAAAACTTAGAAAATATTCACAATGCATATATCAAATAAAGGATTTATACCAAGAGCATATAAATAACTCATACAATATGACAAATAGATGAAAGACAACTCCCATTAAAAATAGGCAAATGATTTGAATAGACACTGCACAATAAAAGATAAGCACCTTACAGATATGCAAATTTTAAATGTTCAATATCATTAGTCATCAGAGAAATACAAATTAAAGTCACAATGTAATATCATTGCATACTCACTAAAATGTCTAAAATTAAAAGGCTGACAAAATCAAGTATTCATGATGATGTGGAGCAGCTTCAGCTCTCCTATCCTTTTTTTCCCCACGTTTTGACATTTTTAAAAAATTTATTTACTTATTTATTTTTCTTTTCAACTTCCTAGTTAGTTAACATGTGGTACAATATTGGTTTTAGGAGTAAAATTCAGAGGTTCACCACTTACATACAACACCCAATGCTCATCATAAGTGCCTTCCTTAATACTCATCACCCATCTAGCCCATCCCCCACCCACCTCCCTCCATCAACCCTCAGTTTGTTCTCTATCATTAAGAGTCTCTTATGGTTTGTTTCCCTCTCTTTTTTTCCCCTCCCTTATGTTCATCTGTTTTGTTTCTTAAGTCCACATGAGTGAAATCATACGATATTTGTCTTTCTCTGACTGACTTATTTCACTTAGCATAATACACTCTAGCTCCATCCACATTGTTGCAAATGGTAAGATTTCATTCTTTTTGATGACTGAGTAATATTCCATTATATATATGTACTTATACATATATACCACATCTTCTTTATCCATTCATCAGTCAATAGACATTTGGGCTCTTTCCATAATTTGGCTATAGTTGATAATGCTTCTATAAACATTGGGGTACACATACCCCTTCAAATACTCCTGACAGGAATGTAAAATGGTACTTCCATTTTGGCAGTTTATTGTCATATGAAACATACACTTCCATTTACTATATGAACCAGCAATTCTGCTACTAGCTCTTAGCTTCAAAGAAATAAAAACAAAGTATATTCAAAGACTTACACAGAAATGTTCCTAGAAGTGTTAATTTATAATATATCCAAATCTTGAGATAACCCAAATATCCATCAACAGGTGAATGAATAAACAAATTGCAGTATTTCCACAAATGGAATATTACTCAGAAGTAACAAAGGAATACATGACTGAAACACACAAAAATATGGATGAATCTATAAAGCATTATTCTTGTTAATGGACTGGATGTTTGTGTCCCTCTAATATTCATATGTTGAGACCTTAAACTCTGAGGTGGCTATATCAGGAGATAAGGCCTCTAAAGAAGTAATTAAAATTACATAAGATAATAAAGGTGGGACTTTAATCCAATAGGATTAGTATCTTTATAAGAAGAGACACGAGAAAGCTCTCTTGCTCCCTCTCACTCTCTTGCTCACTCTCTCTCATGCTCTCATGCTCTCTCTCTCACTTTCTGCATAATGCACTGAGGAAAGGCCATGTGAGAATACAGCAAGAAGGTGGCTGTCTGAAAGACAGGAACAGAGCTCTCACTGGAAACTGACCCTTCCAACACCTTGATCTTGAACTTCTCTAGAACCATGAGAAAATAAATTTGTTATTTAAGGTACCCAGTCTATGGTATTTTATTATGGCAGCATGAGCAAATTAATATGATGTTTGTAAAAATCCATATATAAGAGAATACATAACATATGATTCCATTTATATGAAGTTACAGAATAGGGAAAAAACTAGTGACACAAATCAGCTCAAGGATTGCCTGAACCTAGGGTCAGGTGGGAGACTGAATAGGAAGAGGTATAAGGGAAACTTCTGGGGGTGATGGACATGTGCTATATCTTTACCATGGTGGTAGTTACACAGGTTTATAAATTTGTCAAAACTCATAGGAAAGTATTCTTAAAGTGTGTATGTTTTGCTATGTGTGAATCATGCCTCAAAAAAAGCTTGTTTGGAAAAACATGTAATTGAAGTTGAGAATGCAAAAAAGCCAGATTACATAAAGTGAAATAATCACATCAAAATTTCTAATTTCTATACATCATCTAGGATAATGCAACCTCCTTGGGGGCGAAAAAGACTACAAAATATCCAGAGGAATGCAAAGAAGATTCTTAGTAGCTTTCAAAACATATCCTATGATGAAAAATTGAGAGAAACCAAGTTGCTCAGCCTGGAACAGGAAAAACATGAGAGTGAAATAAGGCAAAGATAGATATCTTTAAATATTTGATAACTGCTATGTGGGAAGTTAAGTGACTTGGAGTCTGTGTAACTGCACAAAGCAGATATGGACGATTAGATAAAAGTTACAATGAAAACTTTAAGACTCAATATGACAAAGTACTTTCAAATAGAGGTGTCCATCAAAATCCTCAAACCCTAAAACCAGTGATTTGGTCAGGGGAAAGTGATGCCAATTACTGTCATTTTCCACAATATTTTTGAATAATTACCATGCAGTACATTAATAATTTTGAATACCATTAAACATATGTCAATTTAACTTTGTTGTGAGTTTTATTACTATACTAAACCTTGTTCTTGCATTCTCAGTTTTTTAAATTCTTATTACTTACAAAGCATGATCCTCCACTCATAAGTTAAAACAATTAGAATATAGCTCAGCAATACTATGTACTCTTGCTAAATGCTGTGGAAGAAGTGAAAAATTCACTGGATGTTTCTACATTGGGCTAATTTCTAGTATATTACATCAAATAGATATAACTTCTAATGTAAATATTTGAAAAAGCCATCTTTACATACTGACAGTATTATAGTGCTATCACAAATGATAAGAAATGGTGGTGCAGCTGAGGAGTTATTTATTGTGATAATTTGTGTTCCATTTTATTTTATTTTATCTTATTTTATTTTTTTAAAGAATTATTTATTTGAGAGAGAGAAAGGAGGGCAGAGGGAGAGGGAGAAAGAGAATCTCAAGCAGACTCCCTGCTAAGCGTGGAGCCCAACGTGGGACTCGATCTCCCAACCCTGAGATCATTACTGCTCAACCAAGTCACCTAGGCACCCCTGTGTTCCATTTTAAAATGTGAGTATACTCCGTTTAGATGTCGGGGAAAAGAAAAAGTATTTTTTATCATTAATGGCAATAAATCATGCATCAATTATACAATTAATTTCTTTGTTACTCTTGTTTTGAAACCAGAAAAAATTAGCTACCAAATGTACATGAATTGCAAATGAAATCACAAATAGAACCTCCCACACATGTAGGTTTCTATTTTACTTTTTTAAAAACCATTTTAACCATTTTTAGGTGTATATTTGGTGGCATTAAATACATTCATAATGTTGTGCAACCATCACCATCATCCATCTCTACAACTCTCTTGTAAAACTGAAACTCTGTATCCACTAAACAATGACTCCCCAATCTCCTCTCTCCTCATCCCCTAACAACTACCATTCAACTTTCTGTCTCTATGAGTCTGATTACTCTAAGTACCTCATATAAGTGGAATCATATAGTATTTGTCTTTTTGTGACTGGTTTATTATGCTTAACATAATGTCCTCAAGGTTCATCCCTATTGTATCCTATGTCAGAATTTTCTTTAAGGGTGAATAATATTCCATTGTATGTATGCCACATTTTGCTTATCCATTTATCTATCAATGGACACTTGGGTGGCTTCCACATTTAAGCTATTGGGAATAATGCTATTATCAATATGAGTGTACAAATATCTTTCGAGACTCTGCTTTCTTTTATTTTTTAGTTGCGTTTTATTTTTTTTTCAAGAAATACTCTGATTTAATATTGTTATCTAATATAAAGATCTTATCTAAGTTTTCTCAATTATCCCACTAATGCCTTATATAGCAAAATAACAACATGAATTTTTCTGGTCCAGAATTGCATTAAGTGGTCATGTGTCTTTAGTTTCCTTTGATCTGGAAGAGTTTCTTAGTCTAGTCTCTCATGACCTTGACATTTGTGAAGAGTAAAGTCCAGTTATTTTGAACAGTGCTCAACAATTTAGGCTTGTCCTTCCTATGTTACCTCGTGATTACATTCAGGTTCTGCATCTTGGGCAGAAATATCCCAGAAGTGATGTGTCATTCTCAGGGCAATG